ATGTTCTAGGGTTTCAGGATTGTTGATTCTCTGTTTGGCTTAGTTTTTCGGATCTTTGTTGTGGAGGGACTGCGTGGTGTTTCTGCCTAGAGCGCCATCTTGCCGGTTGAGCTATATTTAAAACAATTGGATGTGTAAAAATTTGACACTAGTAGGCAGACAGGCAGGCAGGCAAGCTTTTTGGGCTTATGGGCCTTAGCTTGATACGAAGAAATTAATGACCTGGGACCAATATGCAGAGGCCATCTTTGACTCATTTACATAACAATACATTATCTGTGTACCACCTTGAAATAAGCCTAACAATTTTTTTTTTTTTAAATAGATAGCCAAGGTGAGGACAATCCAATTAGGTCACTAGCAGGTGACCTCATGGATGATTGGATGATCCTTGTACTACTACCTTCTTCCCCAGTAGCGTTTACTACCAATTCAGTTTCCTTCTAGGAGAGTTTGTTTTGCTGTAATTCCCACCCCAAGGGCATATTCACATCTTGTCCTTATTTGTCCTGCTACAAATTGGGGGAAGAGTACATGGGCATGGAAGTTTACCTTTCTTAGTGTTAAGGAGAAGATGTGAGAAGGATTGTTGGTAATCACCTAGCAGGAAAGAGATGAATATTGGTTCTTTCTCTTTGATTGTATCTCAGATAGTATACTAATACCTTTGCTGCCTAATCTTCCTGTTGATCTTCATTCTTCGTAAGGTTATAGTGGGGAGATGAGGCCTAGGAATGGATTTTTTCCTGAGTTGAGTTTTTGACTCATTACCATATTTAGCAATAATGAATATTGAAAATACATTCATACTTTCAGTTTGAGATTCCAGATACTTCTTCTGGATTGTCCCAGCCTTTTTTGTTGGGCAGTGAGAATAAGGACTCTTCATCTACAAGGTGTTGGTGATGGTCCCTCTGAATTATAGCTGGGGGGGTCTGAATTATCATCAGGGGTCAGGGAGAGGGAGGGATCAAGCCTTTAGATTAGAAGAATATGGATTAGGCAATACTCTTGCATATGAAACTGTGAGGCTCAGAGTCTTCTGTTGATACAAGTCTTCAGAGACACTTTTCTGCCTTAGTCTGGCTGCCTAGGAAAAATTAGAACAGGTTATTGACCTATGGTTGTGAATACTTACAGAGGATTGCACATTCAGCATGGATTTTCTGTTCACAGTCATCCAAACTGATGTAGCTTTTTTTGTTTGTTTAATAAATTTGCTGGATGGTAGATTGAGAAATGCCATAAACATAAAAGTATATTTTGATTTTAGAGAAGTGTTCCAGATCGTTAACAAATTATTCCAACATCATTAAATAATTCTTGATTTCTCGTATTTAGTTTTGTATATACCAGGATAGCTTGGATAGGTTTCATCTAGTGTGTCGGCTCTGTTCTATTTGCGGTGACTTCCTGGAGTGCTGCTTTGAGAACAATTTCTGAGACTATCTGGTCTCAGATGAAAAGTGCTATGATTGATAAATGATACTAGTCGTGAGCCTGGTAACAACGCAACATAAGCCAGGTATTTGTTGTCTCTTAGGCTCTATTTCTGGACATTCTAGTCTTCTCTAGTTTGTTGAACCTTTTGTAATTTTTTTTTTTTTAATGTACTTCAGGTGAAGGTTTACAGAACAAATAGTTTCTCATGAAACAGTAGTACACATATTGTTTTATGACGTTGGTTAACAACCCCACGACATGTCAACCTTCTCCTTCTTGACTTTTTTTTTTGGTGAAAATATACATAGCCAAAGATACACCATTTCAAAAATTTCTACAAGCACAGTTCAGTGACATTGACGACGCTTTTCCAATTGTGCTGCTATTCTCACTTCAGATGAAGGTTTACAGAACAAACTAGTTTCTCATTAAACAGTTAGTACACATGTTGCCCTATGACAATGGTTAACAACCTCACAACACAGCAACACTATCCTTGCTCAGCCTTCGGTTCCCTATCACCAGCTTTCCTGTCTCCTTCGGCCTTCTAGCCCTTGTCCCTGGACTGCTGTGCCTCGTTAGTCCCATATGGTTTTATGGGGCTGTCCATTCCCCGGCTGAACGGTGAACCTCAGAGGTGACTTCACCACTGAGCTAAAAGGGTGTCTGGGGGCCGTACTCTCGGGGTTTCTCCAGACTCCTTTAGGCCAGTAAATCTGGTCTTTTTTTTGTGAGTTAGAATTTTGTTCTACATCCTTCTCCAGCTCTGTCCAGAACCCTCTGTTGTGATCCCAGTCAGAGCAGTCAGTGGTGGTAGCCGGGCACCATCTAGCTGTACTGGACTCAGTCTGGTGGAGGCCTTGGTAGCTGTGGTCCATTAGTCCTTCGGACTAATCTTTTCCTTGTATCCTGTTCTTTTCATTCTCCCTTGCTCCCGAAGGGTTAAGACCAGTGGAGTATCTTAGATGGCTGCTCACAGGCCTTTAAGACCCCAGATGCTACTCACCAAGGTAGAATGTAGAACATTGTCTTTATAAACTGTGTTATGCCAACTGAAGCTTTTGTAATTTTAAACTACTCACAAGAGTCTTTGTTAAAGTTTGATTAGGTCATGTGATTCTTAATTTGCATGAAGTGAAGAAGCTAAAGTCTTGAAAAGTTAAGATATTGAGTCCATTTTATTTAAAGAAACTTCAGACGAGTCATCCTAATTTCTTTGAGTTTCTGGTGATGGAGGTGGCCAAGAGAAGGTCATACATGAAGAGCATTGGCATATGGAGCTAAAAAACCATGTCTACTCCTGAACATAAAAAATGAGACATAACAGCCCATCTCAGATTACTATTCAATCTAAGTCAGATCCCACTCTAAGAGATCAAAATTTTAGAGAAAATAATTGAATATAGATAGAGTTATTGAAGAAAATTGATGCAAGGTTAGGACAGTAGAAATAATGGAAACCTTTTTCTTCCCCCTACCTTATAAGTTTTTGAGGCCTGCATTTCAGAGTTTGTAACATTCATGATTTTAGGTTTTGTGATGTAGTAGAGTTAAAATTTATCATGGTTGTATTCTGTAAAACTTTTGAAATGTTTTATGAAGTGTCTTGTCTTTTGGTTAAGTTAAATGTCTGCAAACTGCATAGCCTGCATCCAAGAAATAAATGTAAGATTTGTTTGTGGTCCTCATAATTCAGTATGTCAGGGACATTTTCCATTTGTCTGTGATTTACCTGGTAAATTGGTATCTGATATTTCAGTAATTTCAATATATGGTTCAATTAATTAGTTTATTTAAAACAAACAGTTCATCATACCTGACATTGATCAAAGTTTAAATTACTGCTTTAAAATGTATAATGCATGTCTTTTAAAAATGATATGTTTTTCATTGAGTTGTGTAGGTATACAGTTATTTAACTTAACAAAAATACACTTTCTGAAAAAAATAATAATTGAATTGTGTTTTCCCATGCAGTGGTAAAGGGATACCATCTTCTTTATTTAAATTAAATCTGTAATCTATCCTAATATTTTAATGTAGCATTTTTTTCATTAGATTGTTAGGAAAAAAGTATTGCCTGACAGCAGTGAAGATAGAGATACAAAAGAAGCTCTAAAGGAGTTTGACTTCTTGGTTACATCAGATGAAGGAGACAGTGAATCTAGAAGTGCCGGTGATGGAACAGATTGGGGTAAGGGAGCATAATGGTTTCAACCAGAGATGTTAAGTTAATAAAACAAACTGATATTTTCCAACAGGGCAGCATCTTAAAGAACACTTGAAGTCTCTTATAATGTTGAAATGTTAAACGTCCTGTAGGCTTTTTACTGTTGTCACCTTTTGATATCCAGTGTGTGTTTTTAAAGAATGTTGTGTAACTAGTTACCCAATCTTTTTTTTTTTATTATTATAAGCAGTACAGTCTAAGAAGAATTTGTATTCGTATACAGATTATTATTTGTTTTCTACCTAGAGAATAGAATTTGCAAATCTAGATTTTGTGGAAACTGAGTATGAGAATGTAAGAGACAGTTTTAGAGATTGCATCTCTGGCATCTTCTGTGCAAAAAAGAATTACAAGTTGGAAAATTATAGTTACTGATTCTAGTCGGGTTTTGTTGGTTTTGTACAAGACATAGAATTATTTTTCCCAGATTGCTCCAAATGAATTTAATATTTCAAACATAAAACAGGAGTTCAAACTTAAACAATAGGTCATTCTAATAGTTTGGAAATGCATTATCCCTATCAATAAAGTAGGATTGTGATAAATTTCTTCAAAAGTAATTGATTGCATCCTGTGTGTGTGAGACAGAGAAAAAGAGAGAATGAAGGAGAATTTTCTTTTGTGGTTGAAGAATTCCATAACTTTATTTATACTCTTGTGTACTTTAAGGACAGGTAAGGTTAGAGAATCAATAACTATACTTATTTCACTTTGGGGCTCTCCTCAGGGGCCAGCTTAAAACGTGTTGGCATTTAAACTCTGAATGCTTTATTCATTAAAACAATGGATGAAGCTATTTTTTTCCACAGCTGTAATTTTTTGTTCTACTACACAATCCAGTTCTGCTGATGACCTGAAATAACTTCCTACTTTCAAGTTTTTTTTCAACTTTATAGCAAGGGATAGTTCACCTTTGTTTTTGAAGTTGGAAGTTTACCATGTCCTGTGCATTTCATGTTCAACAGAATTGTACAGTTTCCTCATGAAGGGTTTAGGAAGATAGTTTTCCATAAAAGTAAATATATTGAGGAACAGTAAGAATGAAAAGATCCTTATTTCTATTCAGCTATATAGCTTACTTGGTAGGCATTCACTTAGCAACTGACACATTAACTACTGGCTTCGCGCTCGTGTGATCTAAAATCAGATCACATTAAGACCTATTTAGAAAGGGATAAGGAATTTCTTACCCCTTTCAGGTAAAAGAGATGGATGTTGGTTTCCCCTTTTTTTTTAAGTGCAGAGCAGATTTTACACTTCAGGTACATAACTTTTGCAGGATCCACACATCCATGGGTGAACATGACTTAGTACGTCTTCACAGGCTTATTAAGTTTTAGTCCATCGCAGTAGGAATTACTTATATGTTCACTTAGTAAACCTTTTGAAAAATAATTTTCTTGTATTTAACAAGTTTTTAAGTTGAACATTATTTAGCAACCTTTAGCTTTGAGCTGGAAAATATTTGTTACACATTTTCTGCCACTGAGAAGCTAGAGTCGCTGAACTTAGCCCTTGAACAGAGGAAATAAGATTGCATATTAAAATTTGGTAATGAGATCTACTCTTATGGATTGTGTTTTAGGATAGGAGAGAGTGAGATACAAATGTGTTGAAGGTTAAATCATTTCCATTACTCTATTTTGAAATATTTCATTTTTAAGCACTTAACCAAACTAGATTGCAAATCCTATCTTTTGTTTTGCATCTGTAAAAAGTAGTTTACAATTTTCTGACAGTTGTCAGTGAAATTTTAGAATGTATTGATTTACTAATTAGAAAGTTATAAAATATTTACTTATTTCAGTACAAATTCGTGTCATTGTAGATATGGCTGTATAGAAGCCTTAATTAAAATATACCAAAGCATTAATGAGACGATTTTTAACATTAAATTTTCTGATATATTTAAATAAGATATTGATCCTTTTGCTAATCTTTGAGAATTTTAACTAAAACACATAAAGTTAAACTACAGAAGAATCTTATTTTAAAAAAAGTTGCTGTTAGAAATGGTAACTAGTTTATGGTGTGTGTTAGAGTAATTTTTTCATTAGAATTTTTTATCCACTTTTATTCAGGCAAGTACTTTAAATGTAGATTGCATTATACTTTCAAGAACTAAAGCTGATACTGAATGGTAAATGAGCTAAAATGTAAACTGATTTTTTTGGTATAAAGTAAGTTTTAAAAATTGGATGTGTATATGAAAAATAAATATTGATAAAGATATCTTGATTCTCAGTTAAAATATATAGCTGTTTCATTTATGTATGTAACTATTATATAAATACTCAAAGTTTATATTAGAATTTTTATGAAGATAATTTAGGATGAGACTTATGGTTTGTATTGATTGCTTTTCCCCCTTTGAAACTCAAGAACATTTTGGAGGATTGTTTAAATAGATCCCCAGTGGCCTAATATTTGGGCAAATATTTATTTATTGAAAATGTAATATTGCTAATCATTTTGACATTATTTTAAGATTATTAAAAACTTGTACTGTTTCCAAAAGATCAATCAGTGGTTTCTTATTTAAAATAGATTTTCATTTAATATTTTTTCGTTAAGATAATAACATGATACAAAATTATTTTGTAGGGTTATTTATTATTATTTACATGTGGGTATACCGCTAGTAAAATCCCATCTTGTAAGACTAGAACATATGTATTACTTTTACCAAGTGTTAGTGTATTTTCTTGCCTAAAATGAAGAACTTTTTAATATTTTTAGTTATAAACATCGGAAATACTAATTTTTATTGTACTTTAGATGAAGGCTTACAGAGCAAGCTAGCTTCTCATTAAACAATCAATATACATATTGTTTCATGACTTTGGTTGCCAGCCATGACATGTCAACACTCTCCTCTTCTCGACCTTGAATTCCCCATTACCAGCTTCCCTGTCCCTCCTGCCTTCTTGTCCTTGCCCCAGGGTTGGTGTGCCCATTTAGTCTCATTTTGTTTTATGGGCCTGTCTAATCTTTGGCCGAAGGGTGAGCTTCAGGAGTGACTTCAGTACTGAGCTAAAAGGTTGTTCGGGGGCCATACTCTCGGGGTTTCACCAGTCTCTGTCAGGCCAGTTAAGTCTGGTCTTTATTGTGTGTGAGTTAGAATTTTGTCCTACATTTTTCTCCAGCTCTGTTTGGGACCCTCTTATTGTGATCCCTGTCAGAGCAGTCAGTGGTGGTAGCCAGGCACATCTAGTTGTACTGGACTCAGTCTGGTGGAGGCTGTGGTGGTTGTGGTCCATTAGTCCTTTGGACTAACCTTTCCCTTGTGTCTTTGGTTTTCTTCATTCTCCCTTGCTCTAGTAAATATTAATTTAAACCCTAATTTTTTATGTATTTAATCTCTGAAGGAAATATAAAAGTCAGAATTCTAAAGCCAAAAGGACAAAAATAAGATTCTTTTTCTCTCATTCATGTTAAAATTTTTTTTGCAAATTTTTTTTCTTCACACTCGTGGTAATTTTATAATGACTGATAAAAGACTCTCTTGGGTAAGAGGGAGTAAAAGTTTCCCTCATATTTTTTTTTCTTTTAAATTGTACCTTAGGTGAAGGTTTACAGAACAAATATTTTCTCGTTAAACAGTCAGTACACATATTGTTTTATGACATTGGTTAACAGCCCACCATGACATGTCAACATGCTCCCTTCTTGGCCTTGGAGGACCTTTTTTTTTTTGTTTTTTGGTGAAAATATACATAGCCAAAGATACACGATTTCAAAAATTTCTACATGTACAATTTTGATGTCGATTACATTCTTCCAGTTGTGCTGCTATTCTCACTTTAGATGAAGGTTTACAGAACAAAATAGTTTCTCATTAAGCCTAATATTTTTTTTATAAACAAAACAAAAAAGGGTTTTTCGTAACCTTTTTTTCCCACCTGAAACACTGCACAATGAGAATGACGTGATCACCTGTAACACAAAGTCTGGAAGAGAGATTATGTTTATGTTACTGACATTTCTGCTGTGCATTTCAGGATAAATTTAAATTCCCCTCACTTATAAGAAACAGTTTCTAATGTCAGGGACATTTGTTGAATCTTCTAATGACTTTTCTGGTTGGGGTGTTAAGTTACTAGTGTATTACTTTTCATTTATTGGAACTTCCCGTGTAAGGGAGATACTGCTTATGCCTCTGAGCCCAGTGACATCTTACAGCCCTTTGGACTTAATTTGAAAAATACTTTCTAGGTTAGTTGATAGGTTTATGTACTCCAGAATCATTAAAAGAATTATTGCGCAAAGATAGCAGCAACTCGGACGTGCTGGAGGAGTTCAGTGATGCCAGAGTAGCTGGAGCTAAGTTATCTAGGGGGAATGTAATAAGAAATAACCAGATCATATAGGGCCATTTGGAGCCCTGGTGGCACAGTGGTTAAGAGCTGGCTGCTAACCAAAAGGTCGGCAGTTCAAATCCAACAGCCACTCCTTGGAAACCCCACGGGGCACTTCTACTCTGTTCTATAGGTGCGTAAATATTTATTATAGTTATGTCCTCTTGGTGTACTCTGCCCTGTAGGGTCGCTATGAGTCGGAATCGACTTGACGGCAGTGGGCGATGCAGTGGTTAAAGCATTTGGCTGGTAACCAAAAGATTGGTGGTTTGAACCCACCAGCTGCTCTGTGGGAGAAAGATGTGGCAGTCTGCTTTTGTAAAGATTATAACCTTGGAAACCATATGGGGCAATTCCACTCTGTCCTATGGGGTCACCATAAGTTGGAATCAACTCAGCTGCAGTGGGTTTGGTTTTGATAGGGACATTAAGATCACTGGTGAGATGGGGAGCCATGGGAGGGTTTTGAGCAGAGGAGTGACATGATCTGACTTTTATTTTAAAGTGTCACTCTAGCTGCTGTGTTGAGAGTATACTACACAGGGCAACCAGTGTTAGAATAGACTTGATGGAGTTGGGCCTATGGAAGCACGTGGGCAATTATCACAGTAATTCTAGCAAGAGATCTGGGTGGTAGCAGTGGGTGTGCTGAGAAGTAGATTCTAGAGGTCTTTTGAAGGCAGCGGAAACAGTATTTTTAAAATATTTCATGTGGGATGTGAGAAAAAGAGATTTTTGGTTTGAGCCACTGAAAGTGTGGAATTGCCATCAATTGAAGTGGAGAACCCTGTGAGTGGAACATATTGGGTAGGGAGGGAGATGGGGAGTTTGGTTTTGAACATGTTTAGTTTTTGGATGTCTCTTAGACTTCCTAAGGGAGATGTAGAGTAAGAAGTTGGATATATGAGTCTTGAGTTGAAGCCAGAGTTATGAGCTAACATTTACATAGCATTATGGTTAAAAGCTCGGCTGTTAACCAGAAGGTTGGCACTTTGAATGTACCAGCCGCTCCTTGGAAACCCTATGAGGCAGTTCTGCTCTGTCTTTTAAGGTTGCTGTAGCTAGAATCAATTCGATGGCAACGAGTTTGGTTTTTTATATATACACATACACACACACAGTATATAAATTGTTGTATAGTAAGTGCAAAATATAACTTTTATTTACTCTTTGAATTTTGTTCTCTTAAAGTAGTGAAAATTGGTTATTGAATTTCTTTTCTACTAGAAACTCAATCTCCTGTTCCTCTTTTTAAGAATTTACAAACAAGTCACTTAAATTGTTTAAATTTTGAATAAAAGTTGAGTAATAAGTTTTACAAAATGCTATTATTACTTAGAGTTTGTAAAATAAAAATAATCATTTTTTGATGTACGCGTACCAAAAATATAAAATTTTTGAAATGAAAAGCTTACTGAAGACTTTTGTACAATTTCTTGATAATAATCTCTCATCACGTAAGTTAATAAGCAGTATTTTTTGTGAGTCACCCAATCATATTTAAAGTCAGAAAATAGGGTGAAAATGGGGGTTGTTGATTATAAAGTTTTGGGCTTAATTTACTAAAAATCACCCAAATCTTCTACTTTTTTTTTTCTGTGTCTCTTTCAAGAGAAATCTAATATTATTACCTAGGGAACTGAATTGATCATTGCTTCTTAACTATTATATTTTGTGTGACTTATATTTCTAATAAATAACCAATAACTTTTTTTAAAATTAGTGACACTGTGAAAAAATAATTGTTGTGTCGTTTAGACAGATTGACTTAGAATGTTCAATATTTTATTGAAAAAGACCATTTCATTTGTTTTACTCTGTTTAGAAAAGGAAGACCAGAGTCTCATGCCTGAAGCCTGGAATGTGGACCAGGGAGTAATTACCAAACTCAAGGAGCAATACAAAAAGGAGAGAAAGGGGAAAAAGGGGGTGAAGAGTAAGTGGAAAACATTGTATCTATAAATCATAAATCTTGCCTCTTTCACATCCTCAAATTTTTTTTCAATGTTTTCCTAAAACTACTTACTCTTTTTCTTTTCTGCTCCTGACCTCTTTCCTTTTCACCTCCTCTCAGGGGTTGAAATTAAATGGCTATTTGATTATAAACTTAAACAAAAATCCCACATATGATTATGGAATTGTCATATATAATAATATTAATAATAATAAATGCAGAACTTCATGATAGTACTAGACTAATATTCAAAGACAGTGATAATTTGATTTTTAAAAGCATATGTGCTTAATTACAACAATGATTTTTCACTGTTAACACATAAATCTCATCTAGTTGAGGCAGTCTGGCAGTCCACCAAAATTATTGCTTATAATTTTAGATCTTGAAGACTGAAAGAAAGTTAATTTCTACCCCTGAATATTCTATTATTCATAGCACGCAGTTCATTTGCTCTCACTACTATATGCTATACAGGGCGCAGAGTCAAATCATAACTTTTCAAGTATTTATTTTCTGATTTAAAATTGTTGGCCAGTTTCACTTACAATAATCTTACCGATTCACTTTTTTCTTTTCAATCAAATGTGTGCCACATCGAAACAAGGTAAAATTAAATTTCTAGCCCTGTGAATCATATATGCATAATTTTCATTGTGCAAATTATTGATAAAGTTTAATAATAGATCTAAAGTATGTAAAATGGAAGTACAAGGGCCTTCAAACATCCCTGGAAATGTTGCTAAACATCTGTCTAGGAGAGCAAGGCTAAATTACCTCCTGTACTTCCACTCTCATTGACGGTATGAACATGGACCTCCCTTTTACGGCAATAGTGAATTTCATCGTTTGTAATATTAAAGTATTATAAATTGAGATTAGGATCTAACTTAATGAGAAATGTATTTAAAAGTTGCAAAGGATTGCAAGGATATGCTTTTTCTTTTCTCTATTTGTAGTGATGCTAATGCTTATCAAAACTAATACTTCTGTTACGACATTCTTTTACAACATGGCAGTTAGTTGAAAACATTTAAATCTTAATTTAAAATATCTTAGAATTTACAGATGTTTAGTTTGGATTGATAAAAAGTCAGTGACCATTGTTGATGTTAGCATAGTATCAACCATTAACATGCTGAGAAATAATGTGTTTTGATACTTTCTCAATATAAATTAAGTTGCAGTGAGAAAGATTAATATTAAAAATATAAGAATTTTTTATGCCTTTATCCAAATATACTGATTAAAAAAGTAAATCTTGACAAATATAGTGAGAAATGATTTGTCATAACTTTTCAGAGCCACGACAAAATCAGTTAAATTGGAATTTTGAGGAAAATATGTATATCATACATGAGAAACACGGAGAATGTTTTAATTTCTGGATTTACTTAAATCAAAGTTGATATATTTCTTTAGGTCATTATGCTACTATGTAAAAGATCTCAAAATGTAAAAGATCTTTCAGTTGGAAAGGTAGCCAGGACTTACATAGAATTCTTCTGTTATCACGTTGATTAGTCACTTTTTGTCAAATATCAAGGCATCGCTGTAGTTGGGATTTAGCACTGAAGGTCTAAAACTGCACCATTTGACTGGAAGAGTATTCCTACTAATAGAAGCAATTGGATTTCCTATGTAGGAGATTTGATCAGTATTGAAACATATAGCATGTTGTTTTTCAGTATGGCAAAGAAAAAGACTCTCTCTGGGGGAGAAAGTTAGCATCTTTCACTGGAGATAAAGGGACTATAGACTGAGGTTCAGCACATTCTGTTTATCATCTTCAGTTGATGTTATCTTGACAAAACAGTAATCTAGGAACAAGTAAAGAAATGATAAAAACAGAAATGAACCAAAGCTTTGATTTGGTGTATGAAGCACTAATTTATAAACCACCATAAATATTTTTGAATTGAACTATTTGTCATTAGAAAAGTTTAAGTCTTTTTAATATGGTCTGATAGAAATATTTCCAGTCAAATTGTGTGCTCCAATTATACTGTCTTGAAATAGATGTCTAGATGTTAGTTAAAATTGCTTAAAAATAGTTGTATTTTTTGCTGGAATAGGAAAAAACCATAATGAACTATGGGTAAGAGTTTTCCCATTCTTAATTAAACTTATAACAGGAAAAACTACAGAAGATCTGTTTCAGCCTCTATGCTATATAAAACAGTCAAAACAGGGATGTGGGAGAATGATGGATCAGAGCTCAGGTAAGTAATCGGCAGGACATGAGACCTCATCTCGGGTACCATAGCTGCAGGATGCAAGGCAGTGAATGCAGCTTAGCTTAAACAACCAACCAAAAAGGGATGTCTTTAATTCAGTACACAGTACCTTCATCATCTGCGCTGTGTGCATTTAGAGCAATATACAAGGGTTTGAGTATAGGATAGTCTTACTTTGAAGGATGCAAATTGGGCATGAGCATTCTTTTTCATGCAAATAATGATGTTATTTTGTTGGCTTGATTTAAAAAGTATATGTAAAATTCTTTTCAAGAAATGAAAGTTTCTTCTAAAAAATAATTACTTCTTACTAATAGAGCACGATAGTGCCATCATCAAAGGTAAGTGTTGACAAATGTAAATAAAGTTTATGTTACCATTTTGATGTAGCTGGATAATTCTCTTTCTCCTTTTTTGTCCCTTCCCCTCTTTGGCTAGGGCCCAATAGGTCAAAACTACAAGATATGCTTGCTAATTTGAGAGATGTTGATGAACTTCCCTCGTTGCAGCCATCTGTGGGTTCACCTTCCAGACCCAGCAGTTCCAGGCTTCCTGAACATGAAATCAATCGGGCAGATGAAGGCAAGTATTTAACACACTGGAGCACAAATACTTGGATATACCTATCTAAATTCAATCATTAGAAAGGACTCTCTAAGAAGAATTTTATTCTGCAAGTATTTGCTCTATGTAGTACTTCTATACGAAGTATAGACTTTCGTAGATTCAAGGTGGTTTGATTCCAACTTCAGTATTTAAGACTTGAAGAAAGATTGTAAACTGAAAAATCAGCTCTAAATTCTAGTTTAGAATATCCCCTAGCTCCACAGAAGCCCATATGGTAGGTCCTATATATACCATTCCAACAATGAGAAAATTAAGAGTCTATAAATAGACTTACTTTGCTTACTTTGAGACTCTCATAAATATTTTTAAGTATTTTACTCAAGCAATTTATCACTGATAAATGAAAAGGAAAAAATAAAACTCACCTGAAAATCTGGTCTCATTTTCTGCTTTTTGTTTTTCCTTGCTCCCTTCCAGCTCTTGTTTACATGTATATAGTTTTTGTCATCATTTAGAATAATTCTGTTTAACTTTATTTATTTAACATGAAATTATAAACATCATTTTCATAATTTTAATTTTAAGGTTGCATATTATATTTTAGACTTGATACTAAGCCATTCCCCTTTTGGATATTTAGGTTGTTTCCAGCATAATCTTGTGGTCTATAAGTACAGTTCCTTCTGCCTTTTAGATACAAGTTCTGATTCTATGTATTTGTAAATAAATAAAATGATTATAGGTGGAAATTAATTTTTAAATGTATATTTCTATTAGCTGAAAATCCAGTATGACATAAAAGTAATCTTGATTAATGAGTACTTTTCAAAATTTAATTGTAAAAAATGATTTGAATTTGAATATTGTAATTATTTACAGTACATAGCCCACTTTAATAGCCACAGAATAATCATGTGTTTTTCTTCTTTTGTTTTTTAATTCAGTTGCATTTTAGAGAAACAATAACTGATAGGACCATGAGGTATAGATTGTCATGGTTGGAATACTTTTTCAGTGAAATTTTTTACTGTTACAGGTTAGTTGTTTCTTAAAGTTATAGTGTCCTTGAAATTTATTATTAAATAATGAAGAATCAACACATTACACCATTACACTCTAGATATACAATTTATTTGACGTAGACCCATTTCTTGTGAATTACAGATGAGAAATCATTGTCCTCAATAGGTATATGGTTCAGTAGTAGCTTCATTTTTCATAGATACAATTTTAATTAGTTTATTTATTCTAAAATCAGATCTAGATAAAAGAGAAGAAATTTTCTCTTACTCTCTCATAACTCAAAAGTGGTGTTTTTTCAGAGATTTCATGTTGAGTCATACATAAATTATGCAGAATTCTAATAATAGAGGCAGAATATGTACTATTTACTAAATGACAGATGAACAAAAGCATTAGTTAAGCTACAGAAAGTGCCCTTGATAGAAAATGTTTAAGAACCTTAACACTGAAGCATTGAATGTTTAACTTACGTGTCAGTAACAATGGTCCTAAGCCTTGCCCACAGTGCAGCTTTTTCAGAAATAGAAAAAAGCACTTAAGAAATAGATTGTATATTTAATTGCCTGCGACTGATGTTCCTTGGTCTCCAGTCTACTTTCAGAAAATGCTTCCATACCCTGTGTGTGATTTCCTAACGAGGTACTTTTAGAACTTGAGGGCATGGTTGTGTGTGTGTGTGCGTGCACGCATACATGCACACACACATTTATTACTTTAATAATTCAGAAGGCAATGTCACATTTAAGAGGCACAGTTAAATAATTCTGTAAATTGCTGATTCAGGCTAGTCGTGTTTAGTTACCAGATAGTAATGTTTAGTTACCAAGTGGAAATGAAATGTGACTTGTAGTCTTTAGTTCTAAGGCATCTTAGAAAGCAATCAAATAAACGAGCATTGCTGCTCAATCCAGCCCTGAAGTCTGCTGGCTACCCGCTGGTCTGTGAGGAATTAGCTGTTGCCTTCTTTGTTTTTGCTTGGCCGTTTCTAGAGCATTAGTTACATTCGCCCACACAGTATGTTTGGGCCCCCTAGCTTGTAGTCTTGTTTCTTGGCAGAGAAATGAGCTAGAATGAGGCGGCTATGGTTTGTATTGGATTGATTACTTAGCCAAGGGTTATAGAAAAACAGCAGACCTACAGGTTTGGAGCAGGCTGTAGTAAATACTAGGGAGTGACCACACTAAGTATGGTCAATTCCAGGAATCTTAGTCTTTTTTTGAAGAGTCATTTTTATTTCACACCTGAACAAAGATAACTGGACATGTTATAAATGAAAACAAAACTAAAAACACCTGGCTGAAGACCTAGCTTCATAGTCTCCCATGAATCATTTGGTTTCAAATTTCGCATGAAAATTGCTGTTTTACTTAAATAATTCCACTTCTCATTAGTAAATGAACTCATTACTAAATGATTAAATTATTTTATAGTAAATTATTACTCATGAACTCATTAATAAATGAACTATGATTAGTAATGAACTCATTAGTAAATGAACCCCTCATGATGTATGTTTGGATAAAACCCATTTTTATTATTGCTACTTTATTATATGGTGGCTTGAAAATGTCTTATTTACTTAATTTATACCTCACTTTGTTTTTATAATGAGTTTAAGTAGAGTTTCTGCTACTACTATTTTTAAAAGCAAGTAACCATTCTTTCATTTATTCAATAAATATTGTTAATTATTTGTTATAATTGAATGTAAAGCCGAAAAATACCTTGCAAATCCAGTTTTTTCTACATGTGCTGATTATGTTGATTTGTTTCTTTTCATTTACCTCTTTAATTTACCTTTTTAGCAGCCAAAGTTTGAACTACTAAATTCTAAATCAACTCATAAATCTTTGTCATTGGTAAAGTAACCGCCTCTTGAAAACTACTCAAAGACCATCTGAGACTGTCAGGATAATTTTCATTTACAAAGAGTGACATTTTATTATTGACCAAATTAAATAAGATCTGTTTTAATTTGGCATTTTACTTTTAACTGATTCTTCTATGATGGTTATTGAAGGAATTGGATTGGTATGTTCAGTGTTATTAAGTAAAGGATATTCAAGTTTATCACAAATTAAATCTGACATTTTGAAGCACAGTTGGCAGCTAAAGAAAAGTATTCAAATGAATACTTTTTAAAATTTCATTTTAAATAAACATTTTAAAATGAAGTATAATGTACCTACAGAAAAGTACTTAAGTCCTAAGGGTACAGCTCAGTGAATTATCACAAAGTGCACCCACCTATGTCACCACTGCCTAGGTCAAGAACTAGAACATTACGAGGGCCATACAAGTCCTCCCCGTATTGCCTTCTAATCACTTGCCGGTCTCTCCTCCTTGGAGGTAATCCTGACTTCTAACACCATATATTAATTTGCCTCAAATATGCACATTTTATAATTTTAACAATTTTCATTTGAAATTTTCTGTATTCCTCCAGATTATAGAATTCACCAATTTTACTTTCAAGACCAGCAGTGTTCAGAAAGAATCACTTATAATAATTGATAGAAATATTATTTGGGTAATTAGCATCAAATATTAAAATTTACTTTCCTTTAGTGATATTTTTCTGTATAGTGAAAAGGAAAGGACAATGGGCTGCTGGATTTGTTTCATGTTATATTTTTCTAATTAGATAGTTCCCTTAACTTGTGGTTAAGATAGGCAAAAAGCAGTTGATTCTTCAGGGTTTTCTGCTCACTGAATTTTATTGGGTTTAAAAGCATTTAAGAATAGTCAAATGTATACATACCCTTATAAGAAATTTCATACAAGTGAATTAGATGAATTTTTGACTAGAGGTTTTTTGTTTTGTTTCTTTTGTTCTCCCTCTTCAGTGGAAGCCTTAACATTTCCTCCTTCTTCCGGGAAGTCGTTCATCATGGGAGCAGATGAAGCCCTTGAAAGTGAGCTGGGACTTGGAGAATTGGCAGGTCTTACTGTGGCCAATGAAGCAGATTCGCTAACTTATGATGTGAGTGGTAGTTTTATTTTTGTTGTTTTTAAAATTAAAAGTTGATTTTATAGAAAAAGATGGCAGTGATAAAACTTCTTTACAACTATAGAACTTGGCTCAGGTTTAATTGCAGACTTTGAAAATATGAATGTATAATAAACAGTAACATTTTTCACATGATCTAGACATTAAAATTATGGAAGTTACCTAAATCTATATTTCAGTTAGTATAATTCATTGCTTTTAGATAAAGGAAAGCATTACTTTTCTGTTACCAAGTTTGGGTTTTACTTTATGTTACAGGGTACCAGTGATTAGATGAAATTTATGCCTGCCCAACAGCAACATTTATCTTGCTTCTTTAGTACATCATCAATATCCTGCCAAGAAGTGATTTTAATTATTGTTAGGCATGCATAGGTACAGGGTGCTTTCCAGATATTAAGGCTGACCAGTCAGTTATTTAGGCCAAAATTGAAATCTTTGCACTTTTGTGCTTTTGCTTATTTAATTCCAAACACAATTGTTTTATAAATGCATTAACACTTTTTCATAATCATAAATGCTTTATTAGAACAACAGTTACTTATTTCATACTTAGGTATTTACAAGCTGCCTTATCTCTTCGTTAAAATCCCCTCACTTTGATACTCCATTATTTCTGTTCAAAATACAGTGTAGTTCCTGGGACAAGAATGGCATGTGGGGATGTAGGATGGATGCCTAAGCAAACCGTGGACATAATAAGAAAACATTTCAAAGTAGAACCCACACTGCCCACTCCTTCCTGCAAATCAAAACTCTCACTCTCTGTCCATTAGCAAGTCTTTTGGATTCTATCTCTAAAACCAGCTGAAATCCATACTTCTTTTCATCTCCCATCTTACTCCATTTTGTTCTCACTCGTAATTACAGTAACTTCTAATTGAAACAAGCTCCTTGCACTCCATTCTGCACGTATGTGATAAAGATTTTATCAGTTCTATTTCCAATGCTTCTATATCTTTATATTTTACATTTATCTTTTTTAAACACCAATTAGTTGACTTTTATTTTTTTCATCCAGTTTTTGATAACCTTTGTCTTTTAATTGAAGCATTTAGTCTTTTTCTTTCTAATTACTGATGTATTTGGGTTTGTGTTCCCTTTTTTCTCAGTGTTTGCCTATTTGTGGATTGATTTGTTTTTATTATTGAAATTCCCTTCTCTGTTACTTTGAAGTTTATACACTCTTCGGTTACCCTAGAGACTAGCACACACATCCTTATCAAAATGCGATATGCAAGGACCTTAGAACTCTTTTAACTCTATTTTACCCCTTCCCAACTTACATGTCATTCTTTGTTTATTCCTATATGTATTTATCCCCTACAAGATATTTTGTTTTTTACAGTCTATATTCAGTTAGGATTATCCATATGTTTACATTTTTCCTTTTCTTCATTGTTTCCTGCATGTCTGACCATTCACTTTCTTTTTGCCCGAAGAACACTTTTAATACTTCTCTGTAGTGAAGGTCTGCTGGTGTGCAAGTCTCTCAGTTTCCAGTTTTCTTAAGTTGTCTTTATTTCACCTGAGTGGGTTTATTATTATCTCTGGATATTGAATCCTAGTTGGCAGTGTGTATTTTTGGCACTCTAAATGTACTATTTCATTATCTTTTGGCTTTTGTTATTTTCTCCTGAAGTCAACTGTCAGTCCTATTGTTGGACGTTTAATGGTAATCTGGTTTTTTGAATGATTCAAAAAATATTTTGAATATTTTTTTTGTATTCTGTACGCCTTGGTTGTCAGCCAGGGTATGGTTTTCTTTTTATTTAACCTTTTTGAAATTCTTGTGCCTTTGGCTTGATGTTTCATCAGGTTGGCAAAGTTCTCAGCCACTTCTCTTCAAATATTGCTTTTGTATCACTTACTGTTTTTTCTTTCTGGAATTCTAGTTACAGATATGTTAGATCTCCTTTCTATAATCTCTATACCTCCGATTCCCTCTGTTCTGTATTTTCTATCTTTTTGCCTTTCCATGTTTCAGTCTAGATTTTTTTTTTAATGACCTAAAGTTTTAGTTGGAGGGTCTATAGTTTGATTACAGTTATGTGATGTTTCTACTTGTTTTTAATTATGTTGTCTTATCTCCTTACGTGTCTGGTTATTTTTTACTATGGCCAAATATCTGTATTTGAAAAATTGTAAAAATAACTTGAGGCCTAGGATGATATCTTCCTCCAGAAAGTATATTTTAATTTGCCTCTCTTGAGTGTCTGGGGCCACTAGAAATCATTTCACTCTGTTTTTAGTTTTTGAGACAATCTAAAGCTGATTTATAGTCCCTGCAAGGGCTTGTCTTCTCGCGGTTCATCCTCATGTCTGTCATACAGCCCTTTGAAGTTATAACCCAAAGCAAAGTGGTTTATCAAGCCCCAGTTTCTTAGCAGACCCTGAACACCAACTTGTATCCCCCGGCACAGAAAGGCGGTTAAAAGCACTGCCTGACTTCTCAGCCATCCCTTTCTGGAATCAGTAAACATGTTCTGAGGAAAAACAGCCCCAAACACTGGGATCACCTCCTTAGGCCTCTGTCCTCCCTGGAGCCTATTCTGAGTCTCCTCCCTTACCCCCCGGGCCTGGTTTTTCCTTGCTGGTTCTCCATTTTTTATATTTAGTGCTACATTTCTACTTGCCCCCAGTAGAGAGTTGGTCCAGATTACCTAGTCCAGCAGAAGTTCCTAATAGATACTTTTATTTCCTCTATACTAACCCCACAAAGAGGTTGTCCATCATCTAATGGAACTTAGTTCTCTATCTGTAGAAAATGAGTTCTTTTTTCATAGCACTTAATGATCGGAAAACTTGGTGTTTGGTCTGCCTCCCTGTTTCCAAAAGTAGTTCCTAGTTTTATTAAGTGTGTTAGTAATCAGTTGCTGTGTAACAGATAAATTACAAAACTCAACAGCTTAAGATAGCAAACATTTGTTATCTTTTATTATGTTATAGTTTCTGTGGGTCAGGAATCTGAGAGCAGTTTAGCTGGGTGGTTCTGGCTTAGGGTCTCTCCTGATACTGTGGTAAAGACATTGGCCAGGGCTGCAGTATCACCTCAAGACTCAACTTGAGGAGAGTCCACTTCCAAGCTCACTCATGTGGTTGTTGGCAGGCCTTGGTTCCTTGCTGGCTATTGGCCGAAGACTTGGCTTCTCCATGAGGCTTCTCAATATGACAGCTGGCTTTCCCCAGTGTGAGTACACTCGAAAAGAGAACAATGAAAGGTTTTATAACCTAATTTTGGAAGTAACTTGCCATTACTTCTGCTGTAATCTATTGGTCACACAAATCAACCCTATAATGGGGGCGGGAGCTATGCAAGGTTTAAGTACAAGGAAATACTTGCAGCCATGTTAGTGGCTGCCTACCACATTAAGACATTCAGAAGGAATCTCATTTCTCTCACATACAAAAACCTTTCAGCTGTTTAACAAGAGTGGACATGATTCAACTCAGCTTTTTCTTTTCCAAGATAATTAGCTCCAATTCTTTCAGTGGTTCCTTGCGTGCTTTGTGTTCCGTGTATGTTTTTGTGTTCTCCTATTCAACTGTTATATGTCCTATACAAAATTTTCTATAGATTTTTAAATTTCTGGGTTCTAAATTACAGTTTTTGTTACAAGTGTGGCTTCTGAAACCAGACTACATGGGTTTGAATCCCAGCTCCTCCATTTACTTGTGGAGTTCGTTGGACATGTCACTTAACCTCTCTTTTCCTTATGTGTCTAGTCTGTAAAGTGGAGATAATGTTAGTTTCTACCTCAGAGAGTCATTGTGAGGAGTAAGTGAGTTAAATGCATGCAAAGTGCTTTGAGTAATGCTTAAAATAATGAATAAAGCTCAAAATAGGTATTATTATTGTTTTTTTGTTATTGTAAATATAGTTCTCTAGAGTGTTATGAGGCCTTGCCATACCCTTGCTTAAGCTTACCGTGTTTGTTAGCCTTGTGATGTGAAGGGTTCACATATGGTGCTAGTGTAAAGTCAAACACCATTTACCTCTTTAGCTTTCCTATTAGTTGATATGGAAAAAATAGAGCCATTTTTTAATTGTTGAGATCGCATCACCATGGAGAAAAGGAACATAATGGTGTGTTTAATTCACCAGTGATTATCTTGTCCAGTTTTTATAGTTTTTGCCTTCAGTTAATGAGCTTTGTAATTGTAACCAGTTCAGTGAAGAAAATTTAGCTCCTATTAGAAAGTATTGAAAATATCAAAAGTATGACCAAAACCTAAAATGTTCACAGATTTTAAAGATAACCTATTTTTTCAATGGTCATCCAAATTACAGAGTTTCAGTGTTATAACTTAGGTTGAAATTACTGTTTTTAAAAAAATCATCCTAGTAAACATCTGGAGCCCTGGTGGCACAGTGGTTAAGAGCTCAGGCTGCCAACTAAAAGGTTGGCAGTTTAAATCCACCAGCCACTCCTCGGGAACCCTAAGAGGCAGTTCTGCTCTGTCCTATAGGGTCGATATGAGGTGGGATCAACTTGATGGCAATGAGTTTGGTTTGGTTTATTAAAGATCTGTTTTTTACGTTACTAAATTATTTGACCCTCTATATATTGAAATATGTTGTTTTCTTGTTATACCTTTCATATGCAAAAGAAACCACTGTTGACACTTTGCTGATTTTACCTATTGGTTTGGTTATTTACATTTAAAAATTGTGTTGTTTTAAAATTAAGATTGTTTTGAAAGTTGCATGGTATGATGGCTTTATGACAAATCAGCAAGAGTTAATGTTGAAATGAGATTTTCTTTCTATCCTGAATTAAGTGTATTGGTGTCTTTGTTTTGTTTTGTTTCTTTAATAGATAGCAAACAATAAAGATGCATTGAGGAAGACGTGGAATCCGAAGTTTACATTAAGAAGTCACTTTGATGGCATTCGAGCCCTTGCTTTCCACCCCATTGAACCTGTTTTGATAACAGCATCAGAAGATCACACATTAAAAATGTGGAATTTACAGAAAACAGCCCCAGCCAAAAAGTGAGAATATTCTACTTTAACTTTATGTAAATATTTTAATTAACATTTTTTTTCCAGCAGAAAAATACTTATTTTAATACTTGCTATTAAATTTCCCAAATATCTCTTCTAGTTCTCTCTTCTTCACTGTGTCACATAATTTATTTATTTTAAAAAATATTTTATTTTGTTCTAGGTGAAAGTTTACATAGGAAATTAGGTTCCCATTTAACAATTTGTATACAGATTGCTCTGTGACATCGCTTACAGTTTTTGCAATGTGTCAGCATTCTCATTGTTTTCGTTCTGTTTGTTCTGTTTCTATCAGTCTAGCTTCCCTGCCCCTCCTTGCCTTCTCATCTTTGCTTTTGGGTAAATGTTAACCATTTGGTCTCATACAGTTGATTGTTTAAGGAAGCACATTCCTCACGGGTGGTATTTATTATATAAGCTTGTTATTTGGCTAAAACTGACCACCAGAAGTGGCTTCAGTTCCAAGTTAAAAGGGTATCTTAGGGCAGTAGTCTTGGGGGTTCCACTGATCTCTATCAGTCCAGTAAGTCTGATCTTTTTTAGGAATTTAAGTTTTGTTCTACATTTTCCTCCCATTCTGTCTGGGGCCTTCTATTGTATCCTTGGTCTGAACAGTTGGTAATGGTAGCTGGGCACCATCTAGGTCTTCTAGTCTCAGGCTAAACAAGGCCGTGGTTTGTGTGGGCTCTTAGTCCCATGGACTAGTTTCTTCTTTGGGTCTTTGGTTTCCTGCATTCTTTTTCGCTCCAGACAGGAAGAGACCAGTAGTTATATCTTAGATAGCCACTCGGAAGCTTTTAAGACCTGAGACACTACTCACCAAACTAGGATGTGGAACGTTATCTTTATGAACTGTTACGCCAATTGACAGAGTTGTTCAACGAGACCATGGTCCCAAGCCCTGTAACGCAGTAAACCAGTCCCATGAGGTGTTTGGATATGTCTAGGAGGTCTTCGTAACTGTGCCCCCATATGCTTTCTTATCTATATGAATATATATGCAGCATGTCCAAACATGTATATACTTATGCCTGCAAACATACAGCACACCCAAACGTGTATAAACTTATGCCTGCAAATATACCTGTGTATACCTGTGCACGTACTCACATATACCTTCCTAGACACATATAGCATACATATCTACCTGTGTAATCATACACTTAGTTTTTGTTTGTTATTACTGTTGTTGCAAAATTTTATATGTTGTAGCATTTATGAGGAGCCCTGGTGGTACAGTGGTTAAAGCACTCAGCTGGTAACCAAAAGGTGGGCAGTTCGAACCCACCAGCTGCTCCATGGGAGAAAGATGTGGCAGTCTGCTTCCATAAAAATTTACAGCCTTGAAAACCCTACAGGCACCTCTGCTCTGTCCTGCAGGGTCACTGTGAGTCAGAATCGACCCCACGGCAGTGGGTTTGGTTTGGTGGGTATGGCATTTACTATAGTTGTCCTTTGTTCTTGCGTGCTTCTCAGTGTCTTCATTTACCTTGATCAAGTTGTGCTGACTTCCCCCATGTTGTGTTTGCCTTTCCCATCATCAGAAGTAACAAGTGTCTGCTATCTAGCAAGTGACTCCCCTTCCCTGGTAATCATCAAATAATGTTGCTGTCTGTGTGTATACCTATTTTTGTGTGTCACGTAATTTAGAGTGTTTTTCCTTTCATACTCACAATCTAATGTTAGGTTGGAAAACTTATGCTTAGGGAGAGATAAGATCATCTGATGGTTTCCCCAGCATTTGTGAATACTGATTAAAGTCCATATGTTGTTATTGTTGTTGCTAGCTTCTGTTGAGTTGGCCCCTGACCCCTGGTGTCCCAGTGTGTTACAGAGTAGAACTGCTCCATAGGGTTTTCTTCGCTGTAGTCTCTATGGGAGTAGTTCGCCAGACCTTTCTTCCGCAGAGCCTCTGGGTGCATTTGAACAGCCAGCCTTTAGGTTAGCAGCTGATTGCAAACTGCTTGCACCACCCAGGCTCCTACAGTCCTTATACAGTGTATTAAATAGCTGTCATACTTGGGAAGCCCCTTATCTTTACTGAAGGTCTCTACTGTTCTTGTAAACAGCTATAAAGCAGTACCTGTTGCCATCAAGTCAGTTTCAACTCATAGCAGTCCCATGTGTGTCGGAGTAGAGCTGTGCTCCATAGGGTTTTCAGTGGCTGATTTTTTCAGAAGTAGCCTGCCAAACCTTTCTTTCGAGGTGCCTCTGGATAGACTTAAACCTTCAGCCTTTCAGTCAGCAGCTCAGTGAGTTAACTGTTTGCACCACCCAGGTACTAGTTGCTGTCTAGTCAGTACCGACTCAAGGCAACCTCATGTGTGTCAGAGAAGAACTGTGCTCCATAGAGTTTTCAATGGCCGATGTTTCCGAAGTAGATTGCGAGGCTTTTCCTCTGAGGCACTTCTGGGTGGACTCAAACTTCCAACCTTTTGGTTAGCAGCTGAGCATATTAACCACTTGCACCACCCAGGTATAGGCATGTTTAAAATGACTAAACCGTCCTCACCCCTACCCCCACCACCATTGTTCACTAAGTTTGGGCTTATGGGGTAGAGGGGAGGGAAGGCTGATTGAGAAGAGGGGCAAGGCCCTCTCTTTGGTATTGTCTTTGGGCTTTGAGCCTTTAGCTACTTTCCATCCCCACCAGTACATCTAGACGGAAAGGCACTGTTGTTGGCATCACTTAACTGCTAGTGTGCTTCCCTTGGTCTGTAGCTCCTCTCTGAGCACGCACACACATGAGTTAGTATAAACCCTGCTGGCTGGTTCTGATCCTGCTTGGTGGAATCTTTATTGAGTGCTTCTTGCAAAAACCAGCAACGGCCCTTCTGCAGTGCGAAGGACTGCTGTTATTACAAAGGTGCATCAGAACGTATGATGGAGAGGACGTCTGTTGCCCCATCTAAAAGAAATCAGTGGCATTTCTATGTGACTTACATCATACATAGGGCAGATAAGAATCTTAATTTATCAGTCTGCATCAGATAGCTCAATCAGATCTTGCTAAAAATCGAATCGATTCTCATATAGATTCATGTACTTGCAGCAGAGAACATTTATTTCCTGGCAATAGATCGTGCCTTTTGTCACAGTGGGTGTCACATTAGACAAGAGAATGTGAATGTCTCATTATGTACTCTTGATTAAAATTTAGAAAAACATTGAAGCAAGTTTCTTGCTGATGGTAGCTTAGTAATAATATCTTCAGAGATAAAACATGGCCTGTTTATCTCTGAACTTAAAGCTTGGAAATGATGTCAGGAGAAATAACATACGCCTATAAATAACTGCAATACAATGTTGTTGTGTGCTGTGGAGTCTGTTCCGACTAATAGCAACCCTATAGGACAGAGTAGAACTGCGCCAGAGGGTTTCCAAGGCTGTGATCTTTTATAGAAGCAGAGTGCCACATCTTTCTCCCGCGGCATAGAAAATGCTGAATACTTGGCTTTTAATCCAGTTTCCTTTAACAGTTATGGCCACTATTAGGTATCATAGTGGTGTTCTGAGTCAGGAGTAACCCAATGACTTTTTTCTACAAGTATCAAGGATAGACATTAACCTTCCTGGAAAGGCAAGGAAATTAAAGTACCATTTATTGAAATCCTGCTATCTCCACGGCTGTCCTAGGCTATTTTACTTGTAGAATTTCATTTAATCCTTGCAAGGTATTCAGTGTTATCCCCATTTTTCTGTTTTGTTTTAACCATAGAGGAGTCTGAAGTTCAGAAAGATTAAATAATATGCTTAAAGTTAGCCAGTTTATGACAGAACTGGAAATTGAATTCAGAACTTCTCCCTTCAAAGCCCACGTTCTTTCCCCTGAGTTTGACTCTCTCTCCGTTTAGTCAGATAGATTGTGATGAGGCTAAAAGCACTATAACAAAGTATTATTGTTAAACAAGGATCTTTTTTCTTTGAAGTCAAGATAATATGTGATTGGTGTTGGGTAAGCTTTCTCATGCAGCCCATAATCTAGAATGGTACGTTACTATAATGTTTGTATTTCTGAAGATGATTTTACAGTATATATTCAGTCAAACTGTTCACTACTGAAACTTAGAGTGGTAAAAGTTCTCTTCTTTCTCTGATTTAGGAGTACTTCTCTTGATGTAGAGCCTATCTATACATTCAGGGCTCATAAGTAAGTATGTGCTTTTTTTTGTTTGTTTTGTTTTAAACCAACATTATTGTACATCAGCCTGATTAGGATATTTTATTTTCTTTCACTTATGTATTTGTGTTATGTATTTTTTGTATTTAGTAGTGTTTTTTGTAAGTGTAAGAGAAACTGACAGATAATGTAATGCTAGAAATAGGCTTATCACTACCGAATAGGGATCCTTGCTGAAATTAGATTTTATTTACATGATGTTTCAATGATATATATGTATATATATATCTTTAAAATAAGGTTGAAATAATTAGGTTTAAATATTAGATAGCCTAACTTTTTTTTTCCCTTAAATTAATCCTGGATAAAAATATTGAGGTTTTTTTTTTTTCTTTTTTTTTAAATCGTGATCACGTATTACATGCTTGTTTCCGTTTGAGCTTAAAGAATGTATCCATTCAATTGATTCAGCACGGAGGTTGGCATTCTTTTTCTGTACAGGTCAGATAGTAAATATTTTTTAGGCCTGTCAAGCCATATGCTGTCTATTGCATATCTTGGCTTTTGTTTTGTTTTGTTTTATAACCCTTTGAAAATGTGAAAATCATTCTTAGCTTGTGGACTGTGCCAACACAGACCACTGGCTGGATTTGTCTGTGGGCCATAGTTTGCCAACCTCTGATTTAGCAGAGGGAGAAAAATGAACAATGATAGTATTTTTTATTCATCATCCAAAAAAAAAAAAAAAAGTTACCATTGAGTCAGTTCCAACTCATGGCAAACCCATGTGTTGCAGAGTAGAACTGTGCTCCATAGGGTTTTCAAGACTGTGATCTTTTAGAAGCAGATTGCCAGGCCTTTCTTCCAAGGCACCTCTGGGTGGCTTCAAACCACCAACCTTTTGGTTAGTAGTCAAACACTTAACCGTTTGCACCTCCCAGAGACTGTTACAGCACAAAAACCAGAAAAATAGCCATCTGAATGATTCAGCATTCTTATTTTTAACAAGTCGTATTCTCAGATAGAAATTGGTTGTTATCTCCCAGGGGTCCAGTGCTGTGTGTGGTAATGAGCAACAACGGTGAGCAGTGTTATAGTGGAGGTACTGATGGTCTGATCCAGGGCTGGAATACCACTAACCCCAACATCGATCCCTATGACTCTTACGGTATGTGATTCCCCAAAGATCTGAAAGAATAAAATGTTGTTGCATGTTTTTTCTAGCATATGTAACTATATAATTATATATTTTTTAGAATAAATTTGTAAAAGAGAGTATCTTTATTTTGTCAAAAAGGACTCCTATATTTGGGAAGCAATTTGATATATAATGCTAAAAGAATGAAGAAAAACACTCATTCTTCCTGAGAAAACAATTCCCAACTCCCAAAATCTTATTAATTGGAAATGCTGGCTTGATTGACTGTTGTTTTCTTCATTTTATGCATCTATATACTACTTGATTCATTATCAGCTAATCTGTGATGATATTTTATCACTATCCTAAACACCTTTGAGGAGAAACGAACGTTGGCATCATCCCCTTGATTAGTTACTGGGGGGTGTAAAGGTTAAATCTTTTGAAGTCCACAGCACCGAAATATTTTAGATGCCTCAGAAGTTTAGAAGTGCCGTTTGGTCTTGGGAATAGTGCCATGAAACATAAATCTGTATTGTAATCTGTCACCAGCTTCACCAGCTGTTACCATAAATTCCTCTGATAGACTGTTTGGCAATTGGCTGTTTTGGTTTCCTCTCATATAAGCATATATTATTTTCATTATCAGTTTAATTTTGCCATCTAAGTTAACCTAAGTAAGAAATTCAATAAACAAAAATTTCTCCCAGCATTGATTTTATAAACATATTTTGTGAGTGACAGTCTGCCAGAGGCTGTTCCATGAATGAAAGAGTCCTTGCCCCAAGGAGCTGGCTTTCACCAGGACTTTCCCTCTCAGGAGAAAACTGAGTCCCAGCATGCTTTCTCTAATTTCAACTCTCTCCTTTCAGTCTCTTAAAAATTTATCTGTTACTTGCCTTTCCTTACTTCCTTTACTGCTCTTTGAGATTGGGAGTTGTCCTCCATTCTGTCCCAACCTGTTCGCTTTTGCTTTTGACCTCATTCTCTTACTCCCTTTGGGACTGGGCTCTATTAGTCAGTCTGTCCCTCTCTCGCCTATCTTCATCCTTACCATCTTTGCTCTGTCTCCATCCCCTTAACGTATAACTAAAGTCAGGTGAGAAGAAGCCTTTTCTTGACTCCATTTCCCTCTCTGGCTTCTATTTAGTTCTTTTCCCTTATCATCTAACTTTCATTGTATTATTTGGAGAACACAATTGAGGGGGGAGGAGGAGGTTGCTGTGAAGTTTACCTGACTCATGGTGACCTCATGTGAACAGAGTAGAACTGCTCCACAGGGTTTTCAAGGCTGTGACCTTTCAGAAGCAGATCACAAGGCTTGTCTTTTGAGGCCCTTCAGGGTGGGTTCAAACCAACAACCTTTTGGTAGTACTTGAGCACGTAACCATTTGCACCACCCAGGGATTCCTAAAACACAATTACTATTTACTAGTTCTTTGTGCCTTCTCTATCATCCACCCAGGGATTCCTAAAACACAATTACTATTTACTAGTTCTTTGTGCCTTCTCTATCATCCCTCTGCATTCTGGCTTCTGGCAACACCATCTAAATATAACAAGATTATCAGTGACTACCTAATTGCCTGACCCAAGAGGTATTTTAAAAATCCTTATCTTACTAGATCTATTGACTGAGTCTGAAACTGTTGACCACTCCATCCTTTTTGAAAGTTGTCTACTCTGTTGGCTTTTTTGACACTTGATTCTGTGATACTTTCTGTTCCCTAACCTTCATAAATTTTTTTTATTTTTCTCACCTTAAATACTGGTATTTATCAAGGCCCTAATTCTCTTTTTTTTCTTTTTCTTTTTTGCAGTGTACAAACTTTCCTGGGTAATTGAAGTCACTTGTGTGGTTTTATATGTTATTGACTCATAAATCTTTTCTTTAAGCTTCATACTACGTTCAGGAAATCTCAAAGTGGCTGTATTTTTTTTTTTAAGTTGTACTTTAAGTGAAAGTTTATAGCTCAAGTTAGTTTCTCATACAAAAATGTATACACACATTGTTACGTGACCCTAGTTGCTATCCCTATAACATGTCAACACTCCTTTCCACCCCTGGTTTCCCATGTCCATTCAACCAGCTCCTGTCCCTTTCTGCCTTCTCATCTCACCTCCAGACAGGGGCTGCCCATTTAGTCTCATGTATCTACTTGAACTAAGAAACACACTCTTCATGAGTATCATTTTATGTCTTATAGTTCAGTCTAATCTTTGTCTGAAGAGTTGACTTCGAGAATGGTTTTAGTTCTGGATTAACAGAGAGTCCAGGGGCCATGTTTTCTGGGGTTCCTCCAGTCTCAGTCAGACCATATTAAGTCTGTTTTTTTTTTACTAGAATTTTAGTTCTGCACCCTACTTCTCTCCTGCTCCATCAGGGACTTTCCTTTTTTATTGTCAGTAAATCCCAGCATGTTTTGTTTCTTTTCGTATGTATTCTTTATTAGTTGATGGCGCTACCAGAATGACCTAAACTAAAAACCTAATAGTTATCCCTGATGCCTTCTTGTGCCTTACTACTCATAGACTATTAACTATCTAGTCTTTTTGCTATTTCTTCAATCTACTCCTTCCTTTCTGGTCCTTTTACCACTTCCCTAGTTTAGGTCCTACTAAAACATTTCATTCCCCTTGCTTCATCTTGCTTCTGTCCAGTTGGTCTTCTACATTACTACATTACAGCCAAAGTTATGTTGTTAAACATTTACTCAACCCTGCTGCTCCTGAGAAACCCTTCAGTGGTTCCCTGTTGCTTTTAGGACAACTTCCAAGTTCCTTTATGTGCCATGAAAATCCTACTATAAACTAGGTGCTCTTACCTCTTTCACTCCTGCCTCAAACTTCACATTCCAGTAATAGTGAATTGTTTCTGATTTTCCTCATATACTGTACTGTTTTTCCTCTGTGATTTTGTTGGTTCTGCCTCCTTTGCCAAGCATGCCTTCCCTGTGTTCAGTGACTGGCCAACTCCTGTATACTCTCTCCAAACAGCTTTCGCATCATCCCGGTTACTCACCTTAGTTGTTGGTGTCTATCAGTATTATTATACTGACCGCATTGTCTTCTGCATTAGACTGCTAAGGCTCTTGAGGACAGGGATTGCATAGTGTCTTAATCATCTGTGTGACTTCAGCTTCTAGCATAATGCTGACATACAGTATGTTTTCAATAAATTTTGATGGATATGTTTGAGAGGAGATTAGACAGTAATGTCATTGGCATTTTCAGACCTAACGTCTCTGAGCCATCTTGAGAGTACTACCTCATAGAGTTATTGTGAGGATTAATAAATAATGTATTAAAATTCCAATTTGACTTTTATCATGAGACTGTGCAAAGGTGAGACTATGCAACATCCACATCTCAGTTATTGCTATTTGAGAATTTGGGGATTTCTGTAGATTTAAGGTCATGTCCCTCATGAATGTCAGGGGCTTGTTGCTCCCAGGAGTAACTGTCATTAGTAGAGTAGGACAAGTGGCCCGAGGAAGGTATATCCAAAGTGTCAAGGGAGGTCAGAGGAGGGAAGGATCTGTTCACTTCCTGAGAGAATATGAGCTGTGGTTTCTCTGAAGGTAGGTTAAATTCAAATGATTTGTGGTAACGTGCTATTTTTAAATGTAGAAGATTGGCCCTTGGGAGGAATAGGAGGAGGAAGAAGGAAATACCTAATTCTTTAAGGAGGAAAAAAAAAAAGTGTGCCTTTTAGTTTTAGACCCTACGTTTGTATATTTCATTTCCAGGCCTGCTTTGAAAAGAATAATAGAAACTAGAAAGCATATTTTATACTGGTATCAGGTGCTTTTGTTTATATTTTTATTTTCTCTGGGATCTAAATACATTTCTGACTTGTTTTTTTCTCCTGATTTTTTATTTTTGCTGTCTCGTTTAGATCCTTCTGTTTTAAGAGGTCCTCTTCTAGGCCACACAGATGCGGTCTGGGGCTTGGCTTACAGCGCTGCACATCACCGTTTATTGTCCTGTTCAGCAGATGGCACTCTGCGTTTATGGAGCACAACTGAGATTGCTCCAGCTCTGAGTGTATTTAATAATAATCAAGGTACATACTTTCTAAAATTATTTTGCTGATTCTTTTATAAAATGTCTTATGCTGAAAATAAATAAACAATTCTATGAATGCTTACTGTTCAAATTTAATTTGAAGTTTTTTTAAAGCATCGAAAGTATGTTTGAATTTCCAACTTATTACATAATTTTAAAAATATAATATTTGGTAAAAGAGCACACATAATATTTTTATTTTTTTAACAGATATAATTTATATGCGATGAAAAATACAGATCTTAAGTATACATTTCAGTGAGTTTGACAGATGCATGCACCTTATAACTCACACACCTGTCAAGATACAGAACATTTCCCTGACTTCCCCACAATTCCTTCATGTCCTTCCTAGTCAATCCTCTCTTCCTAGCCACCCCTCCCCCCAACCAGAGGAGTCCACTGTTGTGATTTCTTTCAGCATAGATTAATTTTGTCTATTCTAAAACTTTATATAAATGAAATAATACAATATTTTTTGTATCTAGCTTTTTACTCTCACTATAATGTTTTTGCAATTCATCTATGTTGCAAGTATTGATAATTCATTTATTTTTGTTGTTTAATAGTATTTTTATCTTATTTATATGAATAAACCGTAATTGTTTATATTCATTTTTCTCTTGATGGACATTTGAGTTGTTTTCAGTTTGGGGCTATTTTGAATAAAGCTGCTATGAACATTTGTATGTTTTCATTATTCTTGAGTAAAGACCTAGAAGTAGAATTTCTGGGTCTTAGGGTTGATGTTTATTTAACTTTATGTGAAACTGCTAAACCCAGTCGTGCATTGTACACTCCTGCCGATAATTTCTGTGAGTTTCAGTTACTCCAAATCCTTACCAGTACTTGGTGTTGTCAGTATACTTGTGTAGTAAGTAGTATTTCATTGTGGTTTTAATTTGCATTTCTTTGATGCTAACTATGTTGAGCAATTTTTTGTATGTGCTTGTTAGCCATTTATAATCTTCCCCTGTAATACATATATTTTTAAACTATTAGCTTGTTTTAGTTAGATTATGAGCCAAATGAAAAAAAATCAGATTAGTATATTTATGTGTATAAATCTTTTTTTTTTTATGTTTATAAATAAGCTCCAAATTTTAACCTATTCTGGATGGTAAATTAAAACACCTTCTTTAATCTTGAGCTATCATAACTTATCTCTAGGCTTTGATGGGCTGCCTGCATTTGATATTTACATGACTTTTTAAATTCTGTACTTTGGATGAGTTAGAATTCCTAGTAGGAGCTGGACTTTTTAAATGAAGACCTCCTGCTGTGCCATCATTCTAAGCCCCAAGCTGAGGTTGGAAGCAGGAAAACGTGTAGTTCATAAATGTTTTCTGTTTGTTTTCTGAATACAGGCACTTAGATTTTGGGACATATTTCTCTCCTTAATTTATGATTTTCTTATATTGATATTAAAATTAGCTTGCAGACCGTGAATACATTAGCTGAGTAATAGGTAGAAGATCTGTTAAACACTTAAGAGTGGGCTAGGGTTAAAAGTAATAAAGGAAATAGTCTCTTTAATTTTTATTCTAATGGAAAGCCTTATTAACTTCTTAAGAAACAATCATCCACTCTTTATTATATTGTAAACACGTTTTCAAGTATCTTCTCTAATTAAACTTCTCTTTGAATATGTTCTGACTCTCTTAGAATTGGGAATCCCTGCCTCGGTGGATCTAGTGAGCAGTGACCCCAGCCATATGGTAGCATCATTCAGCAAAGGATATACAAGCATCTTTAACATGGAAACACAGCAACGCATTCTCACTTTAGAATCCAACCTAGACACAAGTATGTATACCAATTTAAATAATCTGCATTTGGATCAATTTTTTATTGTTCATTTGTTATAGTTTCATTTTTGTATGTTAGTAATAAAATTGACAAAGCTCAATACTGATTAGAATATAGATCAAGTTTGCAGTTTCAGAATCCCAAATCTGAAACTTTTTATTGGCTACAGAAAGTCAGAAATAAATGCTTTCTCAGGTTGTGAAGAAGATATACAGAGTCTTTTTTGTTTTTGTGTTTTTTTAACCGTTGCTTTCTGTGTTTAACCCTAATCCACACTTTAGGTTGCAGTTCATAAAGAAAATCACATACACATATGATGATGTTAGCTGCCACAGCTCTCGCCTTATGGCAACACAGTAGAATGAATCACTGCTCAGTCCTGCGTCATCCCCATAATCAGTTGCAGATTGGACCATTGTGATCCATAGGGTTTTTATTGGCTGATTTTTTGGAAGTAGATTGCCTGGCCTTTCTAGCTAGTCTGTCTTAGTCTGGAAGCTCTGCTGAAACCTCTTCTGCATCATAGCAACACACAAGCCTCCACTGATAGACTGGTGGTGGCTACGCATGAGGTGCATTGGCTGGGAATCAAACCCAGGTCTCCTGCATGGAAGGCAAGAATTCTACCACTGAACCTCCAGTGCCCTCCACACATAATACTGTTACTTTAATCTAAGAACTAATTACCATGGTGTATGTATCTGTTTCTCTGTCTCTCTCTCTTAAAAATTTTCTTCATTCCTTTTTTGGCTTTCTTCCTTTTTTCTTTCCAATCCTTTGTTTTCTTCTCTTATCCTGTGAGTATTGTGTGGGGAAGTAGGCATGAATAGAACTTTGTGCTATTTGTATAAAAAAGAGACACAGGAAAATCAAAATTAAGATTTTTTTGCCTTTTGGTTTAAATAGGTAACCATATTAAAATAGTATTCCTCTGTTCTTTTTTTTTTTGTTACAATCGTGAATGTACAAACTACAGTTCAAAATGATGTCAATGGCAATTTGACTGATAAAGTAAAAGGTAGTTGAAGTAGGTAATTGGGTACTTGTTAACTTAATGAAAAGGTAATTATTTGTAGATCACAAGCTGATATGAACATTTGGTGGATTGTTTTGGACTCATTGTTAGAATGATTGTTGCTGTGCTTTGAATTTATTTCTAGTGTTCTTTGCATTTTGCATATTTGTCTGATTTACCATCAAGTAGAGATACTTTCTTAAAAATATTACCAAACAAGAAGTTTCTTTTTATGCTTCTATGATTTGATTTCTTTTCTATCATATTCATTTTCTAGATCTCAAAGTAATTGAGGCTAGTCTCGGAAAGTCCTCTCGGAATATATTGGGATATTTTACTTAAAGGGTTTCTCTTTTGTTGTTATTGTTCTCCATTAGACCTTAAAGAGGATATTGCCCAGTCAGTGGTATGTTCTCTCTGGAGAAAAGAATCCATAGACTGAACATTGAAACTAAGTATCCCTTTGTTTAGGACCTTCTGAATTGAGTATAACTAACCAAGAATTTACTTCCCATGGTCAGGTGACTTATTCTATACTTAAATAATAGGCTGGGTAGCCAGCTGCCGCTAGCACTGGAAAAAGACTATCTTCAGTTTTTAGGAAGTCATATTTGTAGGAACCATCATGAAAATATAGTAAAATTAGACTAAAAATAGTATAGATCCGGCTTGTTGCTTATAAATATTTTCTATTATGTGATTGTAAATTTATAATACCTCTTCTAGGATTTAAAAAATATTTAAGGTTTTTTTGAAATAATTTTAAACTTACAGAAAAGTCACAAAAATAGTACAAGAACTGGCTACCATTTATCCAGATCTACCAGTTTTTAACATTTTGCCATATTTCCTTTGTCACTCTGTATATGTGTATACATTTTTTTCTGAACCATTTGAGAGACTTTATACTTCTATACTTCTCTGTCCTTTAGCATATACCTAAAAATAAGAACATTCTCTTACATAGCAGAGTACAGTTACTAAAATCAGGAATTTAACATCAACACAATACCGTTGCCTGAACTACTGTTCATATTCAAATTTTTCCATATGCCCCAATAATGTCCTTTATAAGGACAACCTTTCCCCACCGTGGGCCATGATATAATGATTTTTTTTTTAACTTTGATATATATTAAATTAGCATTATCTCTATACAGGTAGTCCCTGACTTACAACAGGGTTCCATTCCGACAACTCCGTCGTAAGTCGGTTCTAATGTAAGTAGTATTCATTATTATTGCCTTTTATTATCAATATCTTTATAAATCATAACATTGAACATCTGAGAATGATAACATCAGCAAATTACATGTTGCAAAATTGTGTATTGTACATATCACTAACGATAATATTCACAAAAACAAAACAACAATTGTAAGTACAGTTCTTTGTAACTCCAATACATCGTAAATTGGGAACTACCTGTATACATTTTTCTTATAAAAAAAAATCACTGATTAAACTTATTATTGATTATTGATTTCATTTTGATAAAAGGGTTTTAGGAGGAACTTGTGGTAGGTTAGGTACCAGCTTTGCAGTGGCTGATTTGTATGAGATATCTAGTTGGAAGGGGGCAGTGGTGGGTCAGTTCAGTGTACCTCATGCATAGCCAACCCCCATCTGTCAGTGAAGGCTTTTGTGTTGCTATGATGGTGAACAGGTTTCAGCGGAGCTTCCAGATGAAGACTGACTAGGAAGAAAGGCCTGGCCATCTATTTCTGAAAATCAGCCATTGAAAGCCCCATGGAGCACAGTGGTCTGATTCCATTGTACATGGGGTCTCCATGAGTTGGGGCAGATTCAATAGCAGCTAACAACAGCAACAGTGTTTAGTTGGTATAAATTAGAAGACCAGAAACTAGGAGCTGGCCTTTTCACTTGATTTGGGGAAAGTCACAATTATTTCTGGACCTTGGTTCGTTCACTGTGATATAGGCATAATGATATGTGGCCTACCTGTTCCACTGTGCACATATTTGAAATCTCTTTGAAAATGATTAAATACTGTGCAAATTATAGGATACTGTTAGGATGCTGATTATTTTAAGATTCTAAACCTATTGGACTGTCAGATGATTACCATTTCTATTACGATGAGCAAGAATGAGAAAGAAAATTTAAGGGTTAAGAAACTTTCTTTGTCATGTTTCTCTTCAGATGATAACTATGTGATAAAGAGCTCTATATATAGAAAGAGTTAAGATTTAAATTTGGGGATTACCTACATATAAGTAATAATGAAACTTCATTAAAGTAGCAGAAACATCTCAGAACACTGCAGAATGAGAAATATCAGAGGCTGTAGGCTAAGCCATAGGTGACACCCTTCCATAACATAGCAGGTAGTGGAACAGGAAATTTTAATTGTTAGGTACCTTTAGATTTGTCAGTATGGTGTAGCTTAGATGATTCTTATTTCCTAACACTGAAATTGTGGAAACAGTCACAGAACAAATGAACTAAGACAAATTAAAGTCACATCATTTACTTTTTCAGTCTGTTAGGTGAGTATTCAGTTCTCCTTTGTGTAAAGAAATAATATCTTTACTCATTTGTGTTGCTCTTTAATTTTTTCTTTTTAGCAGCCACTACTTCCTGCCAAATTAATAGAGTCATCAGTCATCCCACTCTTCCTATCAGCATCACTGCTCATGAAGACAGACACATCAAATTCTTTGATAACAATACAGGTAAGAATTTATTAGAAATTGATTATTGTTAAAGCAAAACAATTACCACTACAAGTAAACTAAGTTTGGTGTTATCAGTAGGTAGCTTCATGGTCAGGGAGTGGGCACTGAAACACAAATACTCTGCCAGCTCAGTTTCTGTTCATTCCATCCGAATCTTCTAGGAAGTAGTCTTCATTATAGAGTACAGAATCACCTTGGTTTATTTAATGTTGAGTAGATGCTTTATTTAGGCCCTTGAGGCAAGGTTATTATTATTGTTGTTATTAGGTGCCATTGAGTCAATTCCGACTTAAAGCGACCCTGTGTACAACAGAGTAAAACACTGCCTGGTCCGGCACCATCCTCACAATCGTTGCTATGTTTGAGGCCATCATTGCAGCCACTGTGTCAGTCCATCTCGGCGAGGGTCTTTCGCTTTTTTGCTGAACCTCTACCTTACCAAGCATGATGTCCTTCTCCAGGGACTGGTCCCTCCTGATAACATGTCCAAAGTACGTGAGAGAAATTCTTGCCATTCTCTCTTTAAGGAGCATTTTGGCTGTACTTCTTCTAAGACAGATTGTTCATTCTTTTGGCAGTCCATGGTATATTAAAATATTAATAAAAATGATCTATTGCTATGAATATATTGGCAGAAAGTAGAAACATGTTAGAAGTAGAGGCATGTGATCATTATATTTTGTTTAAAATTGTTCAATTATTGAATAGCCAGCCATCTTGTTACAGTTGGAAAAACTCTGGGTTGTTTGGTTCATTTCCTTCATTTTCCATGGGCTAACTTTTCTGGATTTCATTTTACTTGGATCCACAATCAACACCCATGGAAGCAGTAGTCAAGAAATCATATGATGTATTGCATTGGGCAAATCTGCTACAAAAGACCTTTTTAAAGTGTTGAAAAGCAAAGATGTCACTTTGAAGACTAAGGTGCACCTGACCCAAGCCATAATATTTTCAGTCACCTCATATGCATGTGAAAGCTGGACAATGAATAAGATAGATGGAAGAAGAATTGATGCCTTTGAATTATGGTGTTGGCAAAGAATATTGAATATACCATGGACTGCCAGAAGAATGAACAAGTTTGTCTTGGAAGAAGTACAGCCAGAGTGCTTCTTAGAAGTGAGGATGGGGAGACTTCTTCTCATATTCTTTGAACATGTCATCAGGAGGGACCAGTCCCTGGAGAAGGACATCATGCTTGGTAAGGTAGAGGGTCAGTGAAAAAGAGGAAGACCCTCAATGAGATGGCTTGACACAGTGGCTGCAACGATGGGCTCAAACATAGCAGTGAATGTGAGGGTGGCCCAGGACCAGGCAGTGTTTCGTTCTGTCGTACATCGGGTTGCTATGAGTCGGAACCGACTCGACGACACCTAACAACAACAACAACAATTTTTTCTGTATTATAATACTGTTTGGTTCTGATTGATTTGAATTTGGCTATGAGACTTTGCCAATTTGTATTGACTTACAGCCCACCACTCTAAAGGAAACTCATGAAGAGCTGTGCCGGGAGGAAAGCACCCTGTATTAACAGGCACATTTACATGGGTAGCTGCTATTGGCTTTGTAAATATGTTGGCCTTTGCTGACTTTGCTTAGCTGCTACTAAAGATGAGTAATTTAATATTTTTAATTCCTTTCCATGTAATGTTTCCACCAAAATTGTGGGCAGATTTCCTCTCTGTTCTTTTGTGTTTCTCAAGTCTCTTCTGTCTATAAATTTAAATTCTGTTCCCATAACTTGCGTAGTTTGCCTGTAAGAGCTTGACTGCTAACCGAAAGGTCAGCATTTCAAATCCACCAGTCGCTCCTCAGAAACCCTATGGGGCATTTCTGCTCTGTCCTATAGGGTCTCTATGAGTTGGAATTGACTCGACAGCAATGGGTTGGTTTGTTTGTTTTAAAAGCATGCAAAGTAGTTGATTAATAGTGTCCAAATTTCAATTAATGAACACGGTTTGAAGGTCTGCATATGTACAAATTACTGTTTATCCATGTTGTAATTTAAAAGATAAAAATATAATCTGAAAATCAAGCTGCTGTTCTTTATCACTGCCACGAGTAGAGTAGAGGTGGGGAGGGGAAGCATGTGTTGTTTTAGCTGATGGAAAAAGCTGTTGATGCAGTAAATACACAGCGAAGGGTGACTGGAGAAACCACTCACTGCAGCATGGTAACTGGCATCTATTCAGGGTGAGAAGAGTAATACTTTTTTTCCCCCCAAAGGCAAATTGATCCACTCGATGGTAGCCCACTTAGAAGCTGTTACAAGTTTAGCAGTTGATCCTAATGGCCTGTACTTGATGTCTGGCAGTAAGTATATCAACTATAGATTACTCATTTTTCCTTATCATTTTCATGTTAATGTAATTTTGCCTTTCAATTTCTTTTTCTTTGTATAGGTCATGACTGTTCAATACGTTTATGGAACCTAGAAAGTAAGACGTGTATCCAAGAGTTCACAGCTCATCGGAAAAAGTTTGAAGAATCAATTCATGATGTAGCTTTCCACCCATCCAAATGCTATATAGCTAGTGCTGGAGCAGATGCGCTGGCTAAAGTCTTTGTATGACACAGTGTATCATCTTCACCTTCTAGCTGTTTATAAATTAATCAACTGCACAAAAGAGATACAGAAGACCAGGGCAAGAGTCAGCTCGTCCTGCCCTTTTGTTCTGCTGAAGGAGCACAGAGAACGTTTGTTAAAGTACAGTTTTGCAATTCGTATACTGTTTTCTAAAACTGTTTGTTCAGGTTGCTGCAAGCTCAGCTGAATTTGTGAACCTGAAAACTGTGTCAAAATTTCCCCCAAATAGGCGCTTTTGTCTGAGGTTGTTCCAATTCGCTAGGCCAGCCTGAGCGAACACAAGGTTTCGTTTGTCCTTATTCAGTAAATAGGGCACTCTGTATGTGATAATTAAAGAACTTGATGGCTGGGGATGAACAGAGGAAGAATGGAAACTTAGACCTAGTTCTCCCTTGAGAAATCTTGTTAAACACATTAGGTAGGTCACATAGTAATCTGCCATATCTGCTGTACTAACCCTTTTGGCCTATTAAAACAAGTTTTTATTTAGCTCTCCTTTCAGCTGTTCACATAAAGCCACTGGCAAAGCAGTTTACCTGTTGGGGGTAAAGACTGCAGTCATTATGTTAAATATATTATTATTCAGAAATGCTAAACAAATATTTAGTTTGCAGGCAGATTTCTATATTATATTACGTTTTTGAAAATAGATTTGTACCATTCTAAAGTTTAGCTGTCAGATACTCACCACTTTGAAGAATAGTTGATAACAGTCTGCCTTTACTAAAGGATTTAACTTATTCAGCTTTGAGATTCTGTTTATTTTTAAGGACAAGCAGGGCATATCTCTGTAATTCTATTAATTTTAAAAAACAACTTTTTTTCATGTTTTATTTATAGTACCACAGTGATTATTTCATGTCATTGAAATCTTACTTTTGATGATTGAAAAAGCAGAAGTTATTTGCTAACTTGTGTTATCAGCACCCACATAACCATGATTCAGATGAACTATGTTCTTTCTTCTTTGTCTCTCATATTCATATTATTTGGAACCTACCAAAAATAATTAATAATTATTCTGTTTTAATAGTCCAAAGAGTAAGGTTAACCTCAGCCAGCTGCTTTTGCAGAAGTACTAAAGCAAATGTCTAGTACCCCAGAAATCCTCTATCGATACCTCCAAGAAGAAGCTGCTCTTGGAAATTAGGAGGGAAGAGTTCAGTGCATAATATTGGCTCAAAGGTTTTTGTTCTCTCCCTCTCCCATTATTTTAATTGGAATATAAAATATATTTTAATGAGCAGTGAATCAATATTGTTTCTGGGGGAAAAAGGGTATCCAAAAGGACCAGGCTTCACTGAACCCCCCTTGCCCGTGGCCACATCTGGTCAGCTCTTGGGCTTCCTGCGATCCTACCATCTGGACCAAGTTCCGTGTCGTACATACCCGAGCCCTACAACTGTCGCTCTTCTCATACCCTTTTTCTTGTTTGCCTGAAAGGACAGAAGCCGATCTATAAGATAGAAGTAAATGATGAATGGCCAACTTTTCATACAGTAGGCTCTCAAACTTAAAAAAAAGAAATGTCCATTTTTAACCCATTAAAATAATTCCTACATTCCTCTCCCCACGTATTCCATTGTCATAGCAGTGACATTTCTGATAATATGTACATCTATGCCTTTACATATTCTGGTGGTGATGTAGATAAAAGTTGATAATATTTCTTTAAAATTTCTGCTTGTCTACATCTTGAAATTCTGCAGTATACAGGCAAATTTTCTTTTAAGCTAAACACCTGTGCTAATTTGCCTGTTTGTTTTACAGTTATGCTGTAGTATTTTGACACAGCTATCTTCTCATTTCATCTGTGCTTTGGTTAACAGTGGGCTCAAGAGACTCCTTTGTATAATAAGTTGAGTTGACCTAGATAGGAGCTGTTGAGTGAATGTTTACATTCCCATGCAGGTATAGAATTCCACATTGTGTTACGTAAATTGTTCTTTTGGTTCTTCACAGAGTAAAGGAAGGGTGCTAACCTAACATTTGCAGAAGGATACTGGGAAATTCCAGTCAGGTGCCCTTCTTTGGTATATTTATGATGGATGACCACAAAGCTATTGTTCTACCAGTTATTGCTTTAATTACCTTCCAAGGTCTTCAGTGCCTGCTTTTGCTTATGTCACTAAGTTCTCTAAACTAAGGCATTGTCTTCCCCTATTCATTTTATGCCTCATGGTTGGAATCCTTCTGTTAGTGAATGGAAAATAACCATGAGATGGCTAGACTGTAGCGTAAATGATGGAACTGTTGAAAGTTCCTAGAAAGCCAGTGCTGTGCCATTGGAGACTGTGCACAGAAAGAGAGCATCTTTTCCGCTAGAGCTGTATGGTCTCAGCTTAGAAACGAGCCAAAGCTGTCTTCCAGTCAGACAGTGGTATATACACGTGTCTGACTTTTCCCCCAGCCTATTGAAAATTCACATTACAAAATGAACCAATTCAAGAATCAGTCATTAAAATGCTTTTTTCATATTACATGATTTGTAAATATTTTGGATGACTCTATTAGAATACTATGAAAATCAGCAGGAAGTGTGGGTCCCTGCCTTATTTTCATATGCTATGGATACATCTCTGGGAGCTTGCAGCACCCTTCTCAAAACTCAGCTGTCATATGGAGCTCATTTGCTTCTCAAACCATGTTTAACGTAAGTGATACAATGACCTTCAGTATTTTTCTATTGAACAAGTTTAGCAATTTTTGCCATTAAACAGGTACTTAGTTATGCAAAGTATTTAGCTTTTATAATCATTTTAGTATGACTAAAGGGAAAATTGAGTGGCATCACTGATAATGAACTTTGTGAAAATTTTTTGTTTATCTGACTTTCATTCCTTCAGTATTCTTGCTATAAATTTCTTTTGGAGATAATTATGGAGATTTATTTGAAAATGTCTAAAATGTATGTATATTTTATAAATATATATTATATATATTGTACAAATATATATAATATATATATATAGACGTAATTTATATATATATATATATATATAAAACCATAGGTGCATTTTACTGTTTTGTATTTTCATTTTTGGAGGTAGTGTACACGACATGATGAGTATGATGAGTGTTGTGCTGTTTGCTTTTGCAGTATGATATATAGTTATAAATGTTTAAATGACTGTATATACTATATTCATTATAGGCTAGCATGCTTGTTTTAAAGACTGTCATTCTAGTTTATTAAAATCTGAATGTAAGAAAACCTGGCTATTCAAATGTGAATTGAAAAATATTCCATTCTCAGTACTGAACTATTTCCATTGAACATTCAGGCTTTTTAACAAAACAAATATCATTAAAAGGCAATAGCTAGAGAATGAGAGGTGCCTTTAAAAAAAATACAAATGCAGCCTTACAGTGAGGATGAGAACTGAGTTTGTGTGGTGGACGGGTGGGGGTGAGAGAAAGAGTGTGTATGCATGGGTGGGTGTTTGCCAGTCTGTGAAGGTCCTGATTTGTGACCATCAATGTCTTTTTAATGTATCTGCTCAACTTCTAGGACTTCAGGGGACATTTCATGCGCTGTCTTTGTGCTCTTCTGAGCACCACATATACTTTAAAGAATTTTGAATGTGAATTCCTAGAAATTTCAGTAGAGAAAAAGTACCTGTTCTTTAATTATAGTCAGGTTTGGGTAAAAGAAGAAATTATTAGTTCACCAAAATTATGAGCTCTCATTAACTTTGGCTAAGTAAATGTAATTTTTTAAAGGTTCACTTTTTTTAGTACTTCAGATGTATTTCTCCCTTACACAAGAGCATGTCATGAAATTCTTATGAAGATTCAGCTAGTAAAAATGATTTTTAGATTAAACACCTGAACTAGTTAAAATTCCACCTAAGAGTAGTCTTAAAGTATTTAAACGGCATCTTTCATATCTACCTCTTTGTCATTGCTGCCATGTTAATAGAAGCAAATCTTTATGACATCTGAACTGATGGTTGGATGCAATTTAAAAATCTATGTTGGTGCTTTTCTCAGGCTTTTGTCATCTAAGTTTTTTTGGACTAAGATGTCAGAAATCATATCAAAAGAGTTAGAATTAATTTTGGTTTCCTTTGAAAGAATTGCTTAAAGTTAACCATCATTGTTGGCAGTAGAGATAGTTAATCTCTAATTGGTATATGTCTGTGTGATAATTTCAACCCAGAGCCAAACTGTTACTGAAATTTACATGGAAAAAGAGCTAGGTATAATTTTATGAAGCTTGCTCTTTTCTTTGAAAGCTATTTCAAAACTATTAAGTTCTAATCATTCATTTTATTTACTCAGAATTTGCCTCCGTTACTGTGTTACTTGTTTCATAATTTATATAATTGCAGTACTTTAAGTGTTTGACACTGGGATTCAGGGTGTACGAAAGTAATAGCTGACATAAATTACATGTATATTTTCATGAAATGTATCAATTCCTAAAGTTCTCCTTTAGGGAAGAGTCCAGAAAACTTACATATCTGTGTTTAAAAGCAAGGATAGGTCATTGGTAAGTAATTTAAATCATTTTACTTTTGCCACTTAAAGTTTTTAAATTGGCCATATCCATCATCCAACTGATCTTCATGTCATTGTAAGGGACACCAGATTGATAAAGTATTTAACAGATCCTTTGCATCAGTTTTTCCTTTTTTAAAAAGAAAAATCTAAAAAATGCAAATGTTAGGCCAAACAGAGATCCCTAGATCCCACTCGTTTATTCTAGCAGTATTCCTGATGTGGTGATTAGGGGTCAGAATTTTCTGGATCTTTGCTAGTCAAGCTTTAGCTATGGTTTAACTGGGACCACATGCTTGTCATCCCTCTGATGCAAATTAGAAAGTTCATTTTAATTTAGATTAATGTCTGCCTGGGTTTTTAACAGGCTGTGAACCAGTGAGTGCCTTGTTAATGTAGAATGATTTTTCCCTGGTTGTGTGTTAGCTTCTCTCTGAAAATGTCTCAGAGAATGAATGGTATTTTAATTGACTTGTAGAGAGCTGCTAAATTTGGTATTATCAGCAATCAGAAAGTCTTGGGTCTACCACATCCCTCCCTCCCTCCTTTCTTTTCATTGTTTGGCTGAAGTTGTAATGGTGAGAAAACACTTACAGCCCCCCTTCCACACACTTTTTCCGGTCTAGATGAAGAGGACTCCCCTGCCCCCGTCCCAGCTCCATGATCTAGGACCTGGTTTTTAGGAGGAACCACTTCTTTGTAGTACTGAAATCTCCTATCTATTTTCTCTCAACTTCAGTTCACTAGAGCTGGCCTCGGGACACCATCAGTTTGTTCCTAAAGGACCCCCCTCCCCCACCCCCATGGTGAGCCCTGGGCCAGATTGTTTGATCTTTCAGGTATTTTTAAATTTAGTCATCAATTAATGTAAATTAATCCAAATGCTAATTTTTGTGGTGCAAAAAGTTTCTTTTGTAAATTCAGGGTTTGGATAAGCTAATTAAGATACGCATTTTTGGTGGCTCTAAGTGTATTGTTTGTTTTTAAATAAAGTGTACAAATACAGTTAATGTGCTATAGGTGTCTCATGAATTGGAGTATTTGTTGGATTTGGAATCCAGCTGTGGATTTGCAGTGAATCAGTTAAAATACTTTAAAACAAACCTGATTTGGGTTTTTTTTTGTTTTTTTTTTTTTTTTACAGAGGGGAATAGAAGGGAGCAGAGAAATAAAAAGGTATTAGACAAAGGAGATGTGAGCCCAGTGTGATGAAGCAATCTTAATTACTGATTTGAAGAAGGTGGGAGTTTATCTTTAGAAGAATTTGGATCTTTGGAAAGCCAGTAAAATTAAAATACCCCGTAAGATTGGATCAGTGATACTTTCAGGGACACAAATAGGTTTCATATTTTTCAAGCGCTCAAATAATTGTAAAAGTTATATGTATATATACACACACACACATACATATATAGATTTAATGTGTTTTTATTATTTAGTCTGTGGCTGGCTGTTTAACAGACAAGCATAAGCTTTCCATGCTCCCCCTCCCGCTTCAATCCAACACTCTTTTTCAAGGGCTTCCCCTGTTCAGAACTCAACAATCTCTTTGTTCCAGTCTGGAGCCACAATGCAACATGGAATCTCAAAGGTACTCTGCTGGCCTTGGAACCATCTGTTCTTTGATGTCCTGTATGTTGCTGTAGTAATGAGCGTTATATCCTGCAGTATGTACTCAAATTTTCCAGTAGTGCCAGAAATGTCTCTTTTAATGAGAACTGAGACATTTGCTTGAGTTATTTTAGAGTAATCTTGCACTTCTAGGTGAAGAGGGCTCCAAAAGTTACTCATGGATTGATGGACTGTCTAGGGTCATCTGAGGTTCGAGTGCCATTCTTGAGTATCCTGGCCTGCACTGGGTTTCCCAAGACCATTGAGGTTTTGGGGGGTCCCAGAATTATCCTGGCACTTAGGGTATTCCCCAGGAAAACCTGGAGTCTGGCAGCATCGTTTAACATGAACACTTCAACCATGAAGCATCCTTCTACTTGTTACTTGTTACACCTGTCACTTATCATGACCGGGACACTCCAGTTCTAGAGAGAAGCACTGACATGGTGTACATCTCTGAAAATTGCAATCCCTATTTTCTGGAACACAAATTTTAATGTAGTATTTTTTTGTATACTTGTCAAAACCAAACAAAATCCAAAATCTACCAAACAGAAAATAATTCACTTTATCTCTTAGATCCTACAAAACTCTTAGCCTTTCCTGATTCCTAGTTGGTATTAGACTAAAGGTAATGGTGATTTCAGTCAGATTTGAAGAACAATCTGATTATTTGGATGAACAAAATTTGCAGTATCCTGCTAATAGGAAGGGCCTACTTCATAGAAAAGTCTCTTGTCCTTGGTGATGTAGCCATTCATCTTAACAAAGATTGGTCCAGAAGCCAACTTCACATCAACTTTTCCTATGTGCCTCTTTAGAGTTATCATTCACCCAGTGATACAAAGGAGAGCCCACGGTAAAACATCTGTTAAATAGCACTTGGAGTACTAGAGTTAGTATAGTTAATTCATGTCCTCATAAGAGGCAGTGTATGTACCAGTTTCCCAATCTGTAACCTCAAACCAAAGATTGTTTTGAATTACCTCATATAATAGCATCATCAAATTAAGGGCAATGGTAGGGAAACCCATCATCCACAAATGAGAATTCCCAAACTGAGAAACTTTAATTAAAAAACTGCACAGAAAGCAAAATTTTATGTTAAGCATGAGTTGTGAAAATAAGCAGCTTGTGGTTTATAGAAAATATGCTGAAATGTTACAGCATACTGGCATCCAACTACTTCCTTATGGAAGTGAGACCAAGGAAGTAATTTTTCATAAAAAAATAAGATTATCTTAATGCAAAAATAATTTCATCAGAAAGTTTATATTGGGTGTTGGATAACTTGGGTGAGAGTTTGGTGGAGGAAGTACCACACCCAGAAGGAAAAGCACCAGGCAAAGTTACCTGGGCCCATCGCCCATTGTCTTCCGGATGACCTCTGAGATCCTTCTGTCCTCTAAAAAATGGTTTGATTTTGGCTAGATTGTCACTGATCCATAAATTAAAAATTTTTAGGAACGATATCAGAAGTATCCTAGGGCCCACTGGTGAAGTACCAGACAAGATACTTACAAAGGAAACTATATTAACATGGGATCAGGTATGTTACCTGCATATGCCAGAATGAAGACCAGACATGTAAGATATGTCCCAAAGTGGCCAAGAGAGAATCTCATGAAAAGACAGGAGAATGATTTTTACAGGATCAATTATTGGTTTTGAATTGTTTTGACTGTGCTTTTAAAAGAAATTTTTAAAAGATATTACATCTTTTCTACAGACTTTAGAGCACACATATTTCAGAGTATCCTGTGGATGGAATAACTTCATTCAATGGAAGTGTATGTTTTAGAAAAAGA